CAATGTGTCTTCCTTTTTACTTCCAGGCTTTATTGGATCACAAAACGGGCAGGAGAAAGGCAAGGTAGTGGACTGATGAAAGCAAATGCATGGCATCATCGTGCAGATGCCGTTTCGTCAGTAGTTGCTCTCATTGGAGTTGGTGAGACAATTTGGTTCTTCCTACAGATAATTTTTATTTCTATTTTTCTAAAATACTGAGTTAAATTTTAAATAATCAACTAAGCATGGTTCATTCTTTTTTATTTTAGGAGGTTCAATCCTAGGAGTGAAATTTCTAGATCCACTTGCTGGACTACTCGTCTCAGGCATGATCCTAAAAGCGGGACTTGAAACTGGGCATCAGAGGTCTGATTTTTGTTCTCCACTTTATCTGCACCTTTGTATCACTCTTGCTTCTTAGACTTCCATTGGAGGTCATGTGAATGTTTAAGTTATTGCAACTTGCAAGTGTCGATATATGAATGCAGTTGCAAGATATTTTCAAGATCTCTGTGATCCACATCCATACTTTCATTTTTTTCCTTAATTTTTTCTTTAGAGGTTCTGCTGGTTTCCTGATTGGGTGAGGCCTTTAAGGCTACATATAGTCTCCTCAACTGAATAAAACCTACTTATAGCAATCATATCTTGCCAAGCCTTTTGGTAGTATAGATTGCGTCTGTAGTCTTTAAACTTTATGTTCAATTGTGATGCAGCAAAATCATAGACTAGTGTGAGGAATAGGGGAGCATGAATGCCCATTTAATGACTTTGTGCTAAGGATCTTACAGTAGGACAATGTTTCTGTCAATCTTCCAACTTTGACACTTCTATGTGTCCCAAGATGGTCTTTAGTTTAATGCAAGCTTGTTATATGTTTATTTGTGTATCTGATGTGTATCTGATGTGTATGTGTTGTGTATCTGATGTGTATGTGTGTTTTTGGATGGTGGACCCAATTTAGTGTCTTGGAACTGGTGGATGCGGCAATCCCAGCAAAGCATTTGGATCCTATTAAACAGACAATTGTACAAGTTGAGGGTGTGAAGGTATCTAGTATAAAATTCTTATAATGTGTTCATGAAATTATTGGTCTGCTTATCTGATCTTTGAAGTCCCCCTTGTTATTTTCCTTCATGTATTTAAGCTTTCAAGCAGCGCTTCTGTAGAGTGTGCCATGCCATCAATATTGGCTTATGGATTCTCCTATGTTTAATAGTATTAGCTAAGATCTTACGTTCTGTTTTGTCCTGTTTCAAATTATCTTTCAAACTGTGTGTAGGGATGTCATCGCTTGAGGGGAAGGAGGGCTGGTTCAACTCTATACCTTGATGTACATATTGAGGTTGATTTTCCTGTTCTACACTTTCTCCTGCTTGCCTGGAAATTCTCTGTGGGTGCAATGTTTCTCCTATAAGGCGTTTTATTCGTTACTTTCACTTGCCAGGTTGATCCGTTCTGTAGTGTTAGTGCTGCACATGACATTGGAGAAAATGTTCGTTATCAGATTCACAAATCCCATCCTGAAGTCTCTGAGGTTTTCATACACATAGGTAGGCACAGTTTCACTGGCGAATTTCTGAAATTGGGCTGGACGAACTCAAATAATTTTTATCCAATTTTTTCTTATATAAACATTCAGTATTTTCCTACATAGAAAAAAATGGATAAAAAACACTCAGCATTTTTCTTCCATATATTAGTTCACTTATGTTGGATAAACTGATTTTGGTTTCTCACTATATTGTTTTTTATTCTCATTTTCTTCACTACACATAATTCTCATCGCCTGCTCCAACTTCTTTGTAGATCCTTCAATTCAACAAATTTGCCCCAGTGTAGATCAGCAAGAAATTCTCAAGGGAATTGCATGCCAGAAATTTTCTCCTGGTGAGGATAAGGACATTGAGGCAGCTGTTTCTCGAATCATCACATCTAAGTATGCAGAGGTGAGTCTTGTCTCCTTATCAAGTTGGAAATGGAAGTTAATCTTGACTTGTGTTTTTGCATTATATTCTGAATGGAATTTAGATTAAGAGGGGATAAACTTAAAATTCATAGTTCAGTTAGTTCGACACCAAATATGTTTTTTTTCTTCTGAAATTGTGTGCTTCAGAAAATGGTTGTTGAGCGCATAACGCATCACTTGTTGCGGGGCAAGATGTTACTCCAAATTGAGGTTTCCATGCCTGCGGACATCCTGATTCGGTAAAAACTTGTATAACAACTTGGTGATTTTGATGCAATCTGTCTAGTGTTTCGCAACGGTCAAGTAATATTTTTCTTTTCTTTACAGAGATGCAGTGGAGGTGGCAAAAGAAGCTGAGGAAGAGATTTTGAAGGCGGCGACCAATCTAATTCATGTTAGCATTCAGCTACGTCTGGGAAGTCCAATTCCACAATTCAACCATGACTAAAACACGGCAGATAGAAAAGAAGGATTTGTGAGAAATACTATTTCCAATGGCAATAATAAGATCTTATTATTGTTTTAGGTTCTTAATCATTTTGCATATATTACAATAGAGAATAATAGATTAACCCCTGGCAGACGGGAGAAGAAATGATAGGATAGGATACATTAACATTTGCTTTGTTGTTAATGTAATCTTTTAATGTCATTGACATCGAAGAAAGTTATCAACCCTGACATTCGTTTCTGTAATTTTGTTCCCAGTTATTGTTTCGAGCAGACGCCATGCCATAATCATAATAGGAATCATGGTGTATGAATATAATGGGGCAGGGATGATAGTTTATTATGGGCATTCATATTAATCTTTGGTGATTTACAACATGAATTTATCTGTCATCCCTACCATTATATCCTTACCCCAGAATTACCTCATATTGTATTAGTCTACCCTAAATTGTAGTGAATACTGATGTACTGGAATACATGAAATACAAGACTAGATGAGTCGACATGCCATATCTATTTTTTCACAATTTGTTTAGTAACTTAATGTTTTAATATTTGACGCCCATCCGTACATCAATCCCGCATTTGATTTGCTGGTATTTCTAGGGTAATGCTCCTTAAGGGAGAAAGGGAGGAGGGAGGGGGAGAGAGAAAGAGAAGGCGGTGACGGCTCAGAGGAGAGAGAGGCAGCATGAGGTACTTTAAAGCCAGGAAAAAAAACTTCAAAACAAAAAACCAACAAGGACCCGACCGGACCAGGCCGATTTTTCGAGCACTGCTAAAGCACACGAGTTAACGCATTATTTAGGGAGCAAAATCCCAGTTTTTAGGACCACAAATTTGGTCTGCATATTATTTAGAAACAAATAAAACTCTAATCGGCTATAGATTTTGGATTGAAACCTGATGCTACTCCAATCCAAAGTTCAAACGCAAACAATTAGGCTGATATGAAAAATAATAATTGGGTTTCAAAAGTAGAGACACAGGGAGGAAAAAAAAATAGAGAAACCATTGATCAGATAATTGTAGTCTGTTATTTTAAGTCGACACTATAAATTCCGAAAAACATATCATCACGTCAATGGTTCTCCTCAAGCAGAAAATAAAAACGAAGAAAAAATAAAATAAAGAAAAGAAAAGAAAGAAGAGAGTGGAGGCTCAGAAGGATCCATTGGTAAATTTTGTAATCATAAGGGAATATCTTCCCTCAGAAAATAGGTAGTTTATCAACATCACAGCCTCCTCCAACCCTTGTTTCTTCTATTCTATGCAAAATCAACTAACCAAAACAAAACCCTATTGAATTTGTTCTACAGATGAAGAGTGAGCGAGAAAACGAGACGAAAAGACAGGGATGGTTGTGAGAGAGAGGCTTTGAGCTCTCAATATATAGGGAAGCGATCTGAATTAGGGTTTGAGATTGAGAGGGTTTTGCCGTCTATTCATTCTTGGAATTACGAAATTACCCTTACAGCTACAGCCCAATAAGGCCCATTGGGCCTCTGTGGATCATGGATGATTTAAATGGGCGTGCTAATATTCAAAATCCAATAACAAAGTAAGACAAGTTTTCAATGTCGTTTGACACGAGTCACGAGTCACGACACATAACATTGATGTAAAAATTGAACATTCATTCTTGATTATGAAAATGAAAAGACATTGTAAGGTTTTGCAAGCTGACTTAAAACAAATACATTTTAAGGTTTTGCACCCAAGAGTTTTTTTTGCCATCTATCTCATTGGGTCATAATAACTCAGCGCGTACTTAAAAAAGATGACTTGGGTTGACAGAAAAAAGGCCCAGATTTGACCATGCCCTAAAGAATTTCCAAGACCCCATCATCACAATACAATAAAATGAAATGATAATCAGGACCCAAATCTCAAACTCACTCAGCGTGTCAGCAAAGCAAAACAAGACCTACTTCTCCTTCTTCTTCAAATGATGAGGAAGTTATAAGTATCATAACATGCATGTACTTTTTTGTCAAACATCCCAAATCTGTTTTTCCATAGCTGAATCTCCATGCGAGCGCTGTTGCTGAAAAGGGTTCATGATTGCTGGTAATCTGTGCTGGCTCATTGCCTCCAAGTCCAACCTTTGTTGCTGCTGCTGGTGTTCATGCAGATTTGGTGGCCTTGACCCTCCAATCCCCAGCAGATCAAGTGTCGTGGACGGTCCCATCGCGCCCCGTTCCATTGCGTTGATTCGAATTCCATGTATCGAATTAGGACTAGAATTATTATTGGCAGCACTAATCTCATGATGATGATGGGGATCACCACCAATCCCCATGAAGACTTGGCTATAGAGACCCATGTCAGTCATTGCAGAGCTTGCAGCTGAGTTGGTATGATGATCAAAAAGCTGAGACATTTCTTGTGGGCCGCCCTTCTGCATGAGCTGGTTGGTGAATCCTCCAACCACCATGTTGTGTGAATTATGTGGTTGATGATGATCAGGCGGCTGCTGCTGTTGGAACTGATGATGATGATCATCATATGATGATGGTGGTCTAATATTATTATTATTATTGTTGTTATTATTATTAATGGAAATAGGATTAACAGAGAGCTGATCAGGGCCTGCCATGCTACTAACAAAGCTCTTCTGCATCATGGGGGAGTTGATGGTAGAGTTGCTTGCAGTGGCACCCATTTGAGCTGCTTTTTGAAGTAAGGCAGTGGCAGACATTTGAGCTGCCCCAGTAATGTTACTTTGGGTGCTCCCCCCATTTTTGGTTTCTTGATGGTGAAGGTAATTGAACCCAGATGAACTGTTGTTGTTGTTGGAGCTCAGCTGAAGGCTAGAGGCTGAGGCTGATGAAACGCTTCTTGGCCCGCCAAAGAGTGAACCTGAGGTGCTTGAAAACATGCCTGGCCCCCCAACACCAGAGTGAACCTGAGGTGCTTGAAAACATGCCTGGCCCCCCAACCCCCCCTGCCATTATGTTCATGTTCATGGACTTGAATGGCATTGGCACAAGATCGTCAGGGAAGGATTTATTGATTGAGTTTTTATTCGAAATATCATAATTGAGGACGTCGGATCCTCCTCCCATGGATGAGTTGGTGTTCATGGCCATTGATGATATGAGCTGGTCATGAGGGAGAGGCATTTGGGTCTGTGAGCTCATGAGGCCGTGGTTGACTTTGTTGTTTTCTTCTGCCAATGCGTCGCAGAAGGCTCTGTGGGTGATAAAGCTATCTCTCCTGCACAAACACATGCATGATATTCAAGTGTTGGTGTTGCCTTTGTTTTCTTTGTTCATATAATTAATTAGATATTGGTGGGAAGAGAGAGATCATTTGAGACTTAAAAACTAAAAGGTCCCAGAAAGGGATATCGATGAATGTAAATATATTTCAATTGGTCGGACATTTCTTTCCTAACTTTATATATATATATATATATATATATATATATATATATCTTTGAAGTGTGCTCCAGTCCAGATATGAACTTGTAGGCGATCCCAATATAATCTCATATGTTCATGCACATGCAATATTGATTTTATATATAGGTCCAAACATGAATGAATGAATTAATTAAATCATGGGTTTGGGTTAATTGAAGTACCTGGAAAAGATGGTTCCACAGTCACATTTGTATTCTCGAGTGCCACAAGTCTTCTGATGAGCCTTCCAATCCGACTGCACTGCATATTTCTTGGAGCACTTGTCACATTTCCATTTTTTCTCTCCATGTTTGCGGCTGAAGTGCTTTTTAATGCCGGTGAGATCTCCCAACGCCCGAGCCGGGTTGTGGTGGACGCAAGTCGGCTCGGGGCATATATAAACCCTTTTTCTAATCTCAGTGGTGGTTCTCTGCCTGAGCTTCCATGGAAGATTGTGGCCTCTTCTGTGCAGCTGAAGGTTCTGGTCCCTCTGAAACCCTTTGTTACAGATCTCACACACAAATCTGTTGGTTGCCATCAGCGTTGTTGGCGATAGAGCAATAACTTCCGC